TAAAATAGTACTGTCAGGATTTACTAAAGATGCGCAGTGAAGAATCAGCGCTGAAAAGGCGTGGACACGGTTATTTTTGCACCTCACCTTATTGAATATGCATTTGTAGGAGTTTCCCTTTGATGCAAAGTTTATGGGAGGAGAGTATTCAAATTAATCATGCAACGCGATTTACTAATATTTGCACTCGTCAAATTACTGGTATTTGCTCTGTTGATTCTTGTGTACAGCTAATGCAAAATACAAATTTGAAAGAATATTTATTATTAGCATTCTCCCTTTGCCTGCAGTGGCTTTGATGGCAGCTTCTCCTAGAGACCTCCATGTAAACATAGATGACGGCAGACAGCATCTTCTAGAAGCCCAGGTACTGCTACCAAGTCGCTTGATTTTGAAGATTTAGGAACTTAAGTCTCAACTTGTGAGAGAACTCTATGTAATGGACGCTGGCACACACATCTGTATGAATTTGCTGCTATTTTCAACTTTGTGAATTTCAGTATTTGTATGGCATCTCAGCTGCTGTTGACAAAATAGCCACTGCTAGTCACATTCAAGTATGTATAGAAATAAGGCACTTTAATCAAAATGCCTACATTTTGTAATTAAATGTAATTATAAGTTAAAGGTATAAAGGGTGTAGTTTCTGAATTAGCTCTAGTGGTGCCATACGAATGCCAGTATGTTTATTTCCAACCCTGTCAAGCTGATCAAAAATCGTTATTCTGTTTGGTGGCACTTTAATTACACACTTCACCACTAACACTAAAGTTTGTTCTGTAGCCCACATTGTGGCTGATTAAGTAAATCTTCACCTTCTGTAGTCACAGATGGGTTAAATTGGGGGAGTATCCAATCAATCTGTTCTCAAAATTAGAAGTCTCATTTCACATTAGGGTGATTTGTACAGCTGACTTGCTCTGAGGAATCATACTAACTTTCTTTTAATTAATTTAAAGTTACCTCCCTTGTGTATACATTTAATCATGGAGAAAAGAATCATTTAAACTTGAACAATGTATACATTTTTATCAGTTTTAAGGCTTTTTAAAAATGTGTATTAAATGTACATTCAGAAATTGAAATGCTAATATAAATTTCAGGTTCCTTTTTACATAGATTTAGATCAATCATTTAA